CACTGCACTGCCAGGTGGGACAAGCAGCTGTTGGTCCCCACCCCATCCCCACACTGCACTGACAGGTGGGACAAGCAGCTGTTGGTCCCCACCCCGTCCCCACACTGCACTGCCAGTGGGACAAGCAGCTGTTGGTCCCCAACCCCATCCCCACACTGCACTGACAGGTGGGACAAGCAGCTGTTGGTCCCCCCCACCTCGGTCCCCACACTTTATAGGTGAGCAGCCTGCTACTCAGGCAGGTGAGGCAACTCATCCAAAGGCCACGTGCCCCTCAGTGGCAGGCCTGGACCTCACACCAGGTCTCCCGGCTGCATACTCAGTGCCCCTCCCATCATCCTCTGCAGCCCCTGGCAGGTGACTGCCCACACCGCCGAGGCGGGTGCCTTTCTTTCTCTTACATTCACATCAAGTGAGCCCAGGGCCTCCGGGAAGCCAAGAAATCTAACACGAATGGGTGTCTGGTCCAGCAGGTGACTGGCCCTCGCCCGCCTTCCATGGAAACTCACTGCTGAAGCTTCACCTACAGGCTGCGTGAGTTTGCTTCCTGCCCCCCGAGGCCCGCACCTCCACCACCGAGGACTCAGCCTGGCAGGGCTGCCGTGGAGGTCGACATGCCCATCTCTGGGCCCCATCAGCTTTGAAGGTGCCGCTCGGGGTGGAAGAGCGGTGTGGGGTGCACACCACACGGAGTCCTGACACTCACTCACGAGCTCCCTGACTTGGTGCTTCTCGGTGGCTGTTTTCAGGTCTTCCTGGAGCTTGGTGTCTCTTTCGAAGAGGCTCCATTTGTGCAGGAGAATGAGGACATCCTTGGTGGAGAGCACCCTCTCGTTCACAATGAACCGGTCCTTCTCCTTGAAGGCCAGCATGACGGTGGCCCGGTACCTCAGTACGGAGTCCAGCGCCGAGAAGAAGCTGGTTATCTGGGCAGGGTCCAAGGTGGGTCTGTTCAGGAGCCAAAGTCACAAACTGAAGCAAAGGCGGCCTTCCGCTCCTGGAAGCCCAGGACTGGTGAGGCTGGTCACGTTGCAGAACCAGCGTGCCAACAGTCCATCCCACAAACCGGGCTTCCCCTGACAAGGCCACGCACGTGAGCCCCGGGGCTAACACAGGACAAAGGGGAGCCACTCTGGAGAAGCAGAAAGCGGAGCCCCGAGCCTGTGACCCTGGAGGACCCCTAGCTGGAGGAACTCTGTGGGAACCAAGGTTAAATGGGGTCGGTAGGCAGAGGAGGCCCGAGGTCAGGGCACAAGGCCCCAACAACACTCAACACCAGGACCGTGAGCCTTCTCCCTCTGGAAACTATCAGACTCAAGAGGAAAAAGGCCAGGACGCCTGGCACAGCATCATACCCACGGCCAAACCCTGACTGGGTCACTGGGAGGAACGCCACCTCTCTGAACTCGGAGAAGAGTGAAAATTCCATAACACCCATTCTGTATAATTTTAGAAATAAAATCGTTATTTCAAATTACGATCCGTTCCAAGACCAACGTATCTTCCCACGACCACGAAATAAGGAACGTGGCGTACCAGCGTGGATTTAACGATGTAATTTGTGGGAACAACAGCAAACAAAATGCCCTGCTGTTTACTGAAAAAATTTTCATTCTGAGATCCCAACCTGTTTGCTATCAGTCTTCTGGTTCCAGCTAGCACACCTCAGCTCTAAACCCAGAAATATGAGTGCAGACACTGTGGGGCCAGAGGAGAACCTGGCTCTCCTGAGGACACCGAAGTGCTACGCCAAGGGCTCGGACGACGGTACGGAAATATTCAGGAAAATCCACGGACAGTGAGTCCCCCCAGACCGACGGAGACAGAGTAAGTGTGGGGCACCTCTAACCTCCTCAGGTCAAGGCCGTGGAAAATACACTCCTCCCGCAGCACTTTATTCTAAGGTTTGAATCACTGTATCAAGGTAAGTGGTTCACTTGCTAAAGGTGACCGGGTATGACATGCTTTCAATTTTTAAAAGCATGTTATGTTCTCAGGGTCCTGCAACGGAGCCTCATAAAGTTGAAGCCGAAGGGAGGAGACAGCTAAGACCAAACGCCTGAAGGCACCCACAGCTGACACCAACTCACACCAGGCCGCCACCCAGACCCACCTGCAGGGTTGTGACCGGCAGTGAAAGCACAGAGGCGCTGCCCACAGTGGCAGACCGAACAGTGGTGTGGCGGACACAGACCTACACAGCGTGAAGGGGCACTCCTGGCGGGGGCGGGCGCTTACCTCAGGTGCTTCATGAGCGCGACGAGAACATAAAGGAACTCATCGATCAGGTGCAGGGCGAGCAGCTTCGGGGGCTCCTGAGACCCTCGCTTGCAAGGGGGCTGGCTCTTGGGCTCCACCATCCTGTCTCCCAGGTTGGTCACCCACAGCGTGTGCACCAAGGAGATGATGTTGGAGAGCAGCTGCGTCTCCAGGAACCTGGAAGCACACACGGGCAACCTTCACATCTATTCACAGTGTCCCCTTCATGGGGCCTGTCTGTCCAGGCTGGGTGTGAGGCGGGAGCGGAAGGGGACAGAATCAAGTGGTGGTGGGGCTTCACCTTTCCTGTGGTGTTAAATCTGCTCACCTCCCCTCTGCTGCAATCCCCAGATAAACACATCATCTATGTGGAAACAGGGTGCTTGCTATATGCACGCTACTTCAGGACACTGGAGGAGCCCCCGCCCCTCCTTCCTGACCAGACGATGGCCGAGTCCCCCCAGAGAGAAATTCTGGAGCCAGCCCGGGATGGTGATAAGAGTTGTCCCGTTCTTGATTCCCAAAACATAAAGTCATCTTCCAGGAATGAGAACTGGCCAATTATGCATTCTGTAAATCTGAAAGAGTTTTGAAGTTGATGACAAGGGACACATTCTAGATTTAGGATATCCTTTTCTTGTAGAGGAATTTTAGAAAAGGCAGGCACAAAGGGCCTGGCTACCCCAGGCTCATCACGGCGATTCTGTGGAAGACAGAGACCCTTCCCACCAGGTGCTGTGTCCTGTGACACCATGTCCTCCCTCCAGCAGCCTCACACTCAGGAGGGCCAACACGAACCACTGACTCGGCTGTGCCGACGGAGGGGCGCTTCGGCCCCACCTCACTAGGCAGTTCAGTGATGCCCCTGAAACGGAAGGCTCCTTGTCTTCACCTGAAGCAGGAGCTGTATTCTTTACAGCACCCCTGCGTGGTGCAAACGGTTAACATACTTGCTGCTGACTGACAGGGTGGAGGTTCACGTCCACCCAGAGGCACCTTGGAAGAAAGACCCGGCGATCTACTTCCAAAAAAATCAAGCACTGAAAACCTATGGAGCACAGTTATACTCTGACACACGTGGGGTCGTCATAAGTCAGAGTGGACTCGATGCGGCTGGTATTCTTTAAAACCTTGGCTTAAAAAAACGGGTTGCCATTGAGTTGATTCCAACTCATAGCAACCCTATAGGACAGAATAGAACTGCCTACTTCCAAAGCTGTGAACCTTTATGGAAGCAGCCTGCCACATCTTTTTCCCAAGGAGCAGCTGGTGGGTTCGAACCGCTGACCTTTCGGTTAGTAGCCGAGCGTGTAACCACTGTGCCACCAGGGCTCCTCTCGTGAGACTGTTTCCGACTATGTAAAGCTTGCCTGCACGCCGAGGCAGGGGCCTGCCTGTGCACAAAAGGCGGGAAGGCGCTGGTCGAGCCTCTGCCAAAGGGAAACGGCAGCTGAGCTGAAGCCAGGCCACAGAGGGAGGAGCCCTGTGGGACCAGCAGTGTAGGCGGTGGGAGGGGACACGTGTCAGGGAGCACAGACCTCACGGGGCCCTTGCAATCGACACGGTACACACCGCTGTCCCTGACGCACGCCCCGCGCACAGCAGGTGCTCACCTGCTCTCCAGGATGTGTACGAGCCACGTCAGCAGACTGTAGTCACGTAGGATTTCATAGGCAGATTTGGCAACCCGGGCGGCGTTCTGGAGAATTTCCAGAATCCAGTTCTGAAAACCAAAATAAAAAGTTACTCTCCAATGAGAAAATGAACTTACTTGATCAAAGGAACAGCTTTAAAAACACAAAGGTATGCTACGTTACAGATGGCTGCTGAAAACGAAGCTTGTTCTGCTAAGTCTGTGGGAGTGGCGGCCGCATGGGAGAGCGCCCTTCCCCAGAAGCGACGGCCAGAGGATGCAGCCTTCCACAGCAATCGCGAGGTCCTGGGGGTCCCCACTTCCGCTAATCCATCGTAAGGAACCAGCCCGCAAGTGAAGACGCAGCACAGAAACCACACGGCCCGGGGAGTCCGTGGCACACGCAGCAGCCCGAGCTGGGCTGGGGAGGACACGGATCCATGTCTCGCTCAGCCACGAGCTTTTGGTCCCTGTTCTACTACCCAGTAAGGAGGACATCAAAATGCGACTGCCTGCAGAACCATTAACGGGGCGCTTTACAATTCTCACATCCCACCCAGAGGAAACACACCATAACTCAAGCTCAGTTTCTTCAAACGTGTTTCTGACCTCAGACTTCCTCCTGTTCTAACCACGTTTTACACACTATCAGGAATAAAAGTTAGCCAGGCTTGAAATCACGCAAAATACCAATAACTTCTCCTATGTACTCCGTCCAACTACCCGTGGCATTTAGAAAACACGTCAGTCGTTTCTGGGTTCTAGGGAGACAGTGCTGCTTGAACAGACTCCCCTCTCTGATGACACGCAGCTCTGAGCACCAACTGAAACCCTGGTGGCTTGAGACCTCCTCAGCCAGAGTATCTCAGCCGACAATGGGTGTCAGTTACTTCTAGCCTTCTCAGCCAGCTCCGAAGGCTCGCCATTACCAACCAGCTCCTCCCTCTTGAGGGCAAAAGAAAGAGGTCTTCATTTCAGCCGGGGGCCACGGTGAGAGGGCTGCAGTGCAAAGCATCTATTAGCAGAGGAAAAACCACACGGTATCAGTGGCGCTGCAGCCACGAACACTCAGCCTTCACCACACACAGGCAATAGGAAAGGTGGGAAAGAAAGTCTCCTCACTGTCCCTAACTCAGAGCCAGGACTAACGTCAAGAGAGGTCAGGCCAACAGTCGGGGGCAGGCTGGGATCAGAGTTCACACGGACTCGACGTCTCAAATGAGCTGCAGCCTGCGCACCTGGGCCGCCCCGTCGCACAGCGGGCTGTTGAAGAAGGACAGGATGATGTGGAAAATCCCCTGTCTGGCGTAGAGCTTGTAGCAGTGCTTGTCTCGGATCCCCTGCCGCAGGAGGCCGAGCACCCACTCCTGCTCGGTTTTTTGCTGTAACCCAAGCAAATGGGAGACGGTCGTTAAATATAAGTCAAAATCCTTTTATCTATTTTCAAGCTGTGGTGCCGATTCCAACATGGCAGCCCCACCCCCAGTGCTGATAACCGGGTGCCATCAGGTCAGCTCTGACTCATGGCGGCCCCGTGTGGATCAGAGTAGAACTGTGCTCCGCAGGGTTCTCAGTGGCTGTTTTTTTGGAAGTAGATCGCCAGACCTTTCTTCCAAGGCACCACTGGGTGGACGCACACCTCCAACCTTTCGGCTAGCAGTTGAGCTAACCATTTGCATCACCCAGGGACTCCTCTGTTTCCGATTATGTTATTAAAAATCCTTAATCCCATCTCTGGTTCAAATTCTTCAGTTAGGAATAAAAGACCAGGTCAAGTTCAAACATCAGACTGCATTTAGCCAGGTAGGTGGTTCCATACAATCATATTTAATAGTTAACCCAGTGATTCACCAAAACAATAATAATAACAACGCCACAAAGCTTAGAACTCCGAAGGAGAAGTTTTAAAATTTGGGGATCTTCCTAAAAATTAACGCATTCAGTGACGTCTACGTGCAAGCCTGCGCGAGCATTCACTTTTCATACGTTTACTCTCTGAGCCGTTACCACTGTCAGAGCCCGGCCTGTGCCACATGGGGTCTGGGCAGTGCATAGGCAGGGAAAACAGTGAACGACGCAGCGGCTGAGTAACCTGGCTCGGGAGATACTTCAGGGCCTTGAGGACCTGGGAGGCAGTACCTCGAAGTCGGCGCTGTAGAAGAACTGGTAGAAGCCGGGAACTTTGTTCATGTTCAGGTCTTGATGAGACAGCAGGAACTTGCTGATCTTCAGGTACATGTGCTCCTCTGTCGAGACAGCAGACGGTCAGTCCCTCACGCATCCGCGGTGCTAACCCTGATGGCGGCTCCTGGCACAGGCCCGTCAGGGTTAGACTGTGTGTGAGCCCCCACCATCCTCAGAGCAAGCCTGTGAGCTCCATGGTATGGTCACCCCACTTCACAGCCAGGAAACGGAGGCACAAGAAGTGAGGTGACTGCCCCAGGTCACACAGCTGACGAGGGTCAGAACCCAGGCCGTCTGGCTGGAGTCTGTGCTTTTAAGCCCTGGGGTAGAGCCCTCAAAGTGGACACCTCTACTTACGATTGTCATCAGCCTGGGTTTTTACCTCAATATCATCTGCTGATTGTATACAACTACGGGAAAATATGAACATATATTCTCTCCCCCCAACCCCTGCCATCCACCGGTTCTGCCCCTCGCCTTTCACTTAGCTTTCCCTGTATTCTAACCCGTCAGGCTCCACGAAGAGCATCCTCACAAACAGGCTTCTCTCCCTGTCCACTGCTGAAGGACACGTGGGGGCTCCCAGCCTTTGACTATTACAAGCACTGAGTAACCCTGGGCACACATCCCTTGTCATCTATACGTGGTTACCCTGTAGGATACACTCCTACAAGTGGACCTGCTCAGCCTCAGTGTTTCTGATCCGCCTCAACCTGATCACATCTGTGGTACCTGGCTTCAAAATCTGCAGGGCTGCTTTGGCGATGAAGAGCGTCAAGGAGAAAGTGAGCCTCGCGTTCCGAGCCCGGATCCCATTCCGGACCACGTCCAACAGGTAAAGGAGCTGAAAACGGGAGAACCAGACGGCATCTCCAGGACACCTGTCATTGGTCCTGTCATCTGAGGGATGTGGCCACTCCTCGCATCCCAGGGACGGCCCTGCTCGCCTGCCACACCCCAGACACGCTTTCCTCTAGGAGTCCAGCGCATGCCCAGCGGCAGAGAGAACCCTGCACCAGGCCCTGAGAATCCCACCTGCTCTTGTTGCCCCACCACCAGGGGCACAGACCTCTAGGTCAGTCTGTCGTGGGTCACAGCCACCTTTAACTATCAGCTCAGACCAAAGAAACACCCAACAGAGATGACACCGTGTTGTCCGCCCACAATACAAGGAGAGAGGATTGTGGGGGAGACCCTGGAGGGTTGAGGATCAAGGGACACCTTCTGCATCACCCCCTGTAAGGAAACAGATCTTTGATCTTTATCGGTGGTCTCCCAACAACAGCCCTCCATGCCTTCAGACCCCAGGAGAGCCAGCTCTCTGAGCCCACCAGGCCCTCCCTCCGCCCTGCAGGATGTCCCCTCTTCCTACGCACCTGAGCCTGCTCTCGGAACCGCGCCCCCTCCAGCTGCGAGTAGTAGGCCGCCAGCACGTAGTAGGCCGCAGCCCGCATCTTGGGGTCATAGCTGCTGAGGGCCGTGACTGTCAGGCCCAGAGAATTCGAATCCAAAAATTTTCGACAATCCACCACAAATTCTACAGGAAATAAAACACAGGCAAGCTAATTAAACACACACCCACACCCACACACACCCACACCCACACCCACACAAATTCCATGGTGATGTGCAGCCTGGAGAATTAAATTTCCCTGTGTCTCACCAACATCACCTACACGATACAAGGAGCCCGTCTTTCTCCAGCTCCTCGAGCTTCTGCTAAAGTTGGACAAGAGGCCGTCCTTCCTTCTGTGGCAGTAACTGCACACCTGCAGCTTCTAGGGTGCTTGTGAACCCCAAGCAGGATTATCTCATGACTTCTCAAAAACACCCATGAACTAGAGAAGACACACAGATCTCCTGCTGAGCCTGCAGCAGGCGGGGTAGGAGAGCACAGCTGGGGGTGAAATTGGCTCACCCACCTCGTGTGGCCCACCGCCTGGGTCCCCATCTACGAGACCATGAAGGAAAGGAGACAAGGCAGAAGCAGTGAGGGCCGTCAGCCAGACACAAGCTGACCTGGTCCATCATTACACAAAGGATGGACTTACAGCTACTCTGCAGCCTTAGTTCTCTCTTTAAACAAACAAAATCTCACAGAAAACTGGCCCACCAAGCCGCAGCAAAAGCTATACTCAAAAGAGCCTGCTGGCCAGTACCCCCTCACTGTCTCTTAGGCCCCAAGAAACCTGCAACCACGCCAGGAGAGGCTGTGACCGAGAGGAGAGGGGGCTGGATACAAGGTGGGGTCGGGGGCAGGGCCCACCTTACCACAGCTTGCCAAAAAAAACCCAAACCCGCTGAGTGGATTCCAACTCATCGCAACCCATGTGTGACAGGGTAGAACTGCCCCACAGGGTTTTCTCTCTGAGTCGGAACTGACTCGACGGCAATGGGTTTGGTTTAATCTTTATGGAGGAGCCCTGGTGGTGCAGTGTTTAAGAGCTCGGCTGCTAACCAAAAAAAAGGTCAGCAGTTCGAATCCATCAGCCACTTCTTGGAAACTCTACGGGGCAGAGTTTCCAGGCTGCAGCACAGGTAGGGGAAACTGAGGCCGAGCCTGGCAGACTCTGAGCTGAGGAGACGAGCTGGGCGTCCCTGAGAGTGCAAGTAGGCTGGAGTCTGCAGGGCAGAGTCCTGGAGAAAAGCAGCTGCACCGAGAGCTCAGGAGTCTTTCAATGAGTACCAATCAGCACGCACCCGTGAGAAAACTACCTCAGCCTGGGAAAGACCACCCAGAAGGAGGAGAGGAAGCAATCCTCGGGCTCACACATGCCCAGAAATAGTTCCTGTTGCCACCAGCTGGGGTGAAATCCTCATAATTCACAGGGCATAGGGTAGAGTACTCAGAAGGATTTGATCTCAGCAGTGGGGCAAAACCAGTCCCAGACTAAATGTCGCTTTGGTCCCACCTAATAAAGCTTAAAAGCAAGACTGCAAAAGAGCAAACTGTTTCCAAGTAACTTGGCTGCATCCTAAAATAAAGCTTAAAAACATCCACAGGAATACAAAAATACCCAGCACCAAACAAGGTAAAATTCACCATGTCTGGTTTCCAATAAAAAATCACCAAGCATGCAAACAGGCAGGAAAATATAACCCATAATGAAGAGAAAAATCTCCCATTTGAAACCAACTCATCAGCTATGACACAGACAACAAAACCAGCAGACAAAGACATTTCAAAGTCCTGTTTCTCACATGTTTAAGAAGCTAGAAAGAAGACTGAGCATGTTAAGTAAAGACACTGACGATACGAAAATTCAAACCAAGATTCTAGAGGTGAAAACTACAACCTCTGTCATGGTTTGAGTTATGGCCCCCAAAAAATGTGTGCATCAGTTTGGCTGGGCCCTGATTCCTGGGACTGTGAGATTTTCCTGTATGTAAACCTGCCTCTATGATGTTAATGAGGGAGGATGGGTGGCAGTTGTGTTAGTAAGGCAGGACCTGATCTACAAGACTGGATTGTGTGCTGAGGCAATGTCTTGAGATATAAAAGACAGAAGTGAGCAGTGAGACAGGGGGACCTCATACCATCAAGAAAGCAGTGCCAGGAGATATAAAAGACAGAAGTGAGCAGTGAGACGGGGACCTCATACCATCAAGGAAGCAGTGCCGGGAGATATAAAAGACAGAAGTGAGCAGTGAGACAGGGGGACCTCATACCATCAAGAAAGCAGTGTCGGGAGCAGAGTGCGTCCTTTGGACAGGGGTCCCTGCACCGAGATGCTCCTAGTCCGGGGGAACACTGATGAGAAGGCCGAGAGAGAGAAAGCCTTCCCCTGGAGCTGACACCCTGAATTTGGACTTTTAGTCTACTTTACTGTAAGGAAATAAATATCTCTTCGTTAAAACCATCCACTTGTAGTATTTCTGTTATGGCAGCACTAGATGACTAAGACAACCTCTGAGACCAAAAATACACTGGATGGATTATCAGCAGATTTAGACGCTGCTGGAAAAAAAATTAGTGAACTTGAAGAGACAGCAACAGAAACCATCCAAATGAAACACAGAGAGAAAAAACAAATACCCTAGAACATCAATGACATGTGTAATTGTCCCTGAAAAAAGGGGGAAATTTGTCCAAAATTGACAGAATTATAAACTAGAATTAAGAAGTCCAACCAACCCCAACACAAGAAACACAAAGAAAATTACATCACAGTTAAAGTGCTTAAGAGCAGTGATTAAAAAAAAAATCTTAAAAGCAGTCACATATCACACAGAGGAACAAAGATAAGAATGATGGCAGACTTCTTGTTAGAAACAAAGCAAGGGAGGGTCAACAGAACACATCTCTAAAGTACAGGCAGGCAGTCCTGCGTTAGGAGCCTCTGACGTACAGACAACTGATACTTGCCCTTTAATGTTATGTAACTTTGCCCTCACTTTGAAAGGACAAACCAAGCCCTACTTGCAACCAATTCTTCATTGCAATCACCTTTACTTGCAGCACATTCAGCTCTTACATCACTGAAAAGGCTTTGAGCCATTTTTTGCACTAAAGTCAGGCTAAATAACACCTGTGTGCACCTGTTCTGAATTATCTACAAATCCAACTTAAAGACACAGTTAGGAATGGATCTCGTTCATTTGTAGCTGGGGGACTACCTGTACGGTGGGGAAAAAAACCCTGTCAATCTAGCATTTTATACCCCATGAGAGCCTTTCAAAAATTAAGGTGAAATTAGGGCTTTTTTTAGACATAAAAAGGCTGAAAAAATTGATCACCAACAGACTTGAACCACAAGAATTCTTAAGGCAGAAAGAAATAATACCAGATGGAAATCAGGGTGTACACAAAAAAATGAAGAGAACCAGAAATGGTAACTATATAGCAAATATAAAATATTTAAAAAACTTTTTTTTAAATCTCCTTAAATGATAGTACACAGTTTGATGAAAAAATAACAATATATTGTGGGGCTTATAGTAAATAAAATGCATGACAAGAACTGCACAAAAGCCAGGAGGGGAGAGATGAACGCAGACTGTTGTAAGGTTCTCATACCACACATGAAGTGGTGTAATACCACTAGAGGGGAGACTGCAATGAGCTAGAGATACATACTATCAACGCTGAAGATGTATAATATAACCCCTGACGATGTATACTATAAATGGTAATGATGGATACTCTAACTCCTGAAGATGTATACTATAAACCCTAAAGATGTATATTCTAACCCCTGAAGATGTGTGCTATAAACCCTAAAGATGTATACTCTGACCCCTGAAGATGTATACTCTAACCCCTGAAGATGTATACTCTTAACTCCTGAAGATGTATACTATAAACCCTAAGGATGTATACTCTAACCCCTGAGGATGTATACTATAAACCCTAAAGATGTATACTCTGACCCCTGAAGATGTATACTCTAACCCCTGAAGATGCATACTATAAACCCTAAAGATGTATACTCTGACCCTCGAAGATGTATACTCTAACCCCTGAAGATGTATACTGTAAACCCTAAAGATGTATACTCTGACCCCTGAAGATGTATACTCTAACCCCTGAAGATGTATACTATAAACCCTAAAGATGTATACTCTGACCCCTGAAGATGTATACTCTAACCCCTGAAGATGTACACTATAAACCCACCCTGAAGATGTACACTATAAACCCACCCTAAAGATGTATACTATAAACCCTAAAGCAATCACTAAACACAAAGACACACAAAATGAAGAGCTATAGCTAACAAACCAACCAAGGGGATAAAATGGAATTATGAATCTAATCATGTCAATAATCACCATGAATGAACATGGGTCAACCAAAAACAAAACAAAACACCCAAACCCGCTGCTGTCGAGTTGATTCTGATTCTTGGCGACCCTGCGTGTTGCAGAATAGAACTGCACTCCATCGTTTTCAAGGCTGTGACCTTTTGGAAGCAGATCATCCAGCCCTTCTTCTGAGGTACCTCTGGGTGGATCACGAACTGCCAACCTTCTGGTTAGCAGTTGAGCGTTTAACCATTTGCACCACCAGGGACTAGAGAAGGAGTCTCTATACCCCAGTTAAAAGCCACGCCTAATTACATGTTACCTACAAAGAAACCCACTTTAAATATCAGGATGCACAGATTAAAAGGATGGAAAAAGAATATCTTGGGCTCCAGTAGCTTATAGACTAAATTTTCTCTTTTCTAATAAGCGACCATTTTTGATAGCAGGGGGGGAAGATCCAAAATTTTAAAAACATCAGACTAGGATAAAGCTACATTGTTTTGGAAAAGACGAGATGTGTTAAAGTCACACCTACGGACCTAACACAACAAATGCGTGTGAGCGCGGTACATTTGGGAAAGAGAACAGTCTGAATATTTAACGTTACACTCACTAAAAACAGCTGGTCCTCAGCTGGCTGGGACATGTCCAGTCAACACGGAGACTAAGAAATGGACTTGCCACGTGTCTGTGCGGAAAAGCCAGTTTCAGGTTCTGTGGTCATCGCTGCCACTCTGTGGAGGTCCTGGCTTTGCAACACAGAAAAGGGCTGTCCTTGGGATGGTGAAA